ATTACTTCTTAAAATTTAATAAAAAATTAATGCGGACGCAAAGAAACAATCCACTTCCCTCCGCTTTTTTAATATCAAACCTAGAAACAGAATTATACTCGCAGCATCCTGATTGAATGAAAATCTATAAAAGGGAACTATCTAATACTTTTAGGCATAGAAAAATAAATAGAACTGAAACTGAGAATAAGAAATATTACTCTCTCACATGTACAGGTTCTGTGTGATTTTAATACAATTGTATGAGTATTTTTATTTTTGTTTACATAAAATAACAAAAATATGAAAGTACAAAATGTATCCGAATACACCATACCCTACCACATTGCGAGTAAGTAGCAATAAGTTATTTAGTATTTTTTAATGTAGAAGTTATATTCAAGAGATTGATGTTTGCTTAATTAATGAATGTACTACTCATTATAACAATATATAGTCAAAATTTCGTATATATAAAATTTGTTGAGTCGAATTTTATAAATACTCTATTCTTGTATAGCATGTACCGCTTACAAAAAAGTTCAATAGGCTAATTTTTGGGCGGATTACATCATTACATCGACGCAGGTGTTACAAACTTTAAGACGTAAACAAAATACCGTTCCCATTAGTGTGGTGTAGGGTGTATTTTGACTGCATTTGGGCTGCTTTGAAATTAACAATAATCGTTCATATCAAGCGTTAATTTTAGCATTAGCACAATTCCTTTGGCAAAATAGCCCCTGCTGCTGCAATAAACACTGCTAAAAGTTATGTTTTCCCATAAAATTATTGAAAACATTTTCAGAAAAAAAAAACAAATTTTTCAATCGTTTTTATTTTTTAATATTATTTTCAAGTGTCAATATTGACTCAACCCAGCAACCACAAAGAGTTTATTTAAAATTAAAAATAATTTTTAATGAAGATCTTTCTTACATTGGTCAACTGATATTGAATAAAAATGGCTAATTCAAACCATTATTTCATAAAATATCGAAATATAATATCAAACAAAAATATAAAAACTTTTTAAACGAAAGAGTTTGTGTTTGTTGGGTTACATATTTTTCAACTAATACATTCTCACGACTTAGGTTTTTGACAGCAGACTTAGGTTTTGTCATACTCAGTTTCAGTTCTATGTATACCTTTTCTATGCTTTTAGGTTTTATTAGAAGCATTTTTTGGAATAAAATTAGTACTTGTTTTTTGTAAGTTAATCAAAACATGCGGTAAGCCGAGTATAGAATATATTTCAAAAGAAAGTATATTTGCTATTTATAATATGAAATCAATCGCTTTTGAAAACAGTATAAGACAAGCATATCGTCACCTTAAACGCAAACGGCCCTAACTAACCAAAAATTCAAAATTTATTTTATTGTTGATTATAATGTATTGCATAAAAACAAATGTCCACACAAAAAATTCTACGACCAAAATGAGCGATTTTATTGACAAAAAACAAAAGGCCCTATCTACAAAAACATTTAAATATTAAATGTAAAAAGTCCAATTTATCCATTTTTATATACGCCATTGTCAACTATCATAACAACTGATAGGTTTCACTATTAGACAATTTGTTTATTTACTACAAATAAATCGCGTTGATAGAAACAAACATTTCTATTTAAATAGTTTTTTGCTTTTCCTGAAAATTTTCAAAAATGTTAGATAGGGCCGTTTGCGTTTTAGGTGACGATATGTATGTTAATATGTCTTAATAACTAGTCACATAGATTATTTGGTAACACCGAACTAAAAGGAAACTTGATAGTTTTTTTTTTCTAGTTATACATTTTCAACACTTTGGTTTTTGACAACAGAATTTCCTGTCCATATTTTATAGAACGCATACATTTAACCCTTCAGTACTTACTAATCAATTTCAATGTCATCTGCAATTTGGCAAATTACTACATATTTATATTGAAATTTGATATGAAATTTGACATTAAACAACAAGGAAATGAAAAACAAAAAGCAATATGTAATCAATCGTTTTTAGAACGTATAGCCTTTATATGCGGCTAAATTTGGAAAGCATATAAAACAAAAAATGAAATGGGTTAAAAATTATTTTTAAAATTTTGACAGAAGATATTTTTTTCACGTAATAAATACATGCAGAATAATGTATGAATAGGAGAGAAATAGTTTTTTATTTTTTTATCCATTATAATATAAATTATATTCTTACCTACCTTACCGAGCAGGGTGACTATGTACAATCATACCCGACGATAACGAAATTCTTCAATTACATTTACAAGTAATTGTAATTGGCAAAACTTCAATTACAAGTAATTGTAATTAGCTAACATTCAATTACAATTACAAATAATAGTAAAAGGCAAACTATAATTAAAATTAAAAATAATTGTAATTGGTAAAGCTTCAATTACAATTACATCAAATGTAATTGTAATAGAAAATGTAATCATTACCCCCCCATGCCTGCAGTGTAATACAAATCAAAACTGTTTCTAAAAAGTAATAAATATACCACTAAAATCCAAGTCAATAGTTAAGCTAATGTAGTAATTTTATTTATTGAAATCATTTTAAGGTAATGAGTTCATGTCTATCAACATCGAACACAACCCTTAACCCTCAACGATAATAAGTATAATTTATGTTGTTGGTTTATTGAACATAAATTATATTTTATTATAAATAACTAATTGTACAAAGGAGTAATAAAGCTCTTGGACACTTTAATACATAATTACGAAAACATTATTTGTTAGACTTGTTATGAGCAATAAATTTTGCTTGAATGTGAGAAATTATATTCCTTATAAACTAAAATAAATAGAATCGTATAGAAACACACAATTCTTACTAAATTACTTTTATGTAATGAGATTGGTATTTCTTAAAAATAATTGTGCATAGGCTAATTCAATATGAATTTCTACATTAATGTGGTTTTACTAAATATATTGTTTTATAAATCTAATTTGGTATTTGATTGCAATAACATTTTATATAATTTGTTTACATTAGGAAAAATCTAATAAAATTAGTTTAATATTGAAAATGGCCAAATCGGTCCACATTTGACACTAGCCCTTATATAAGTTACTTAAGCGTTCATAAATGGCTTAAAAATTCCAGAATAGTGATGAAATTCGACAGAACCAAAATCTATATTACCAATTTCATAAGGATCAGATTAACACTACAAGAAATCTATGTCGCATCGAATTGATAAAACTATATGAAAGACTTTATGACGCATGTTTTGTAGCCCTCAGTTGTAAAAACCCGAATTTTGGATTAAGCCAGTCTTATAGTAAATGAGCGATATGATATATGACAATGCTTTGATGCCATACTTTTCTTTTCTAGATTAATTTTTTACTAGATTTTTATGTATTTCCGTTTTAAACACAAAAGTATTAAAATGTTCAATTCAAAATATTTTCTTGTTAAAAAGATTTTCCGGTTATTTGTAGTAAATTTGTTAATACACATTAATAAATATTTTTATTAAATTTGGGAGAAAAAGAATTTGAATTATGTAAGTACACATGTAAGTATGTTATTCTCTGGGTATGTTTTTGTGATTTTTTTATTATTCTGGGAAAGGTAATACAAAGTATAACAAGCGTAATGAACGAACGACCAAGAGAAAAACTTTCACTTATTAAAATACATACTTTTAACTAGTAATGTAGTAAAAAAGAAAAAATAACTTCGTTGTAAAAAAATTTAACATTAATATGCTTTTATGCTTCATTCGAAGAAAAATGTTATACATTCTTTTAGAATTATGAAAATGAAACAAAAAATCTATAATTTTCACCATCAGTATTTTAAAGAAACCCATTCTGGGCCAGCATTTACATTTTTGGCAAAAATTGAAATTAATAAAAGTAAAATGAAATTAAGATACATTAATAATAATTAAAAGAAAATTTTTTAAGTAAAATATAACTCAACGACATATTTATTTTTGCAAAAGGGAGAGCTACAATTCAGACTGCATTGCATTCAAATTGCAAGTGAACTGTTTTTATACAAATGATTTTCCAAATAAAACTCAGTTTTTAAGGTGTGTGTTGGTGTGTTGTTTTATCTGTGTACATACATATGTATATTGATTCTTATAACAAATTTAATTTATATTCTATAATAATTGTTATTGTTAAATGTTTATTTATTATTTAATATCATTTAAATAAAAACTATTTTAAAGTAATTAAAATAAATACAAATTCGTATTATAAAATAAGGTTAAGTTAATAAAACATTTTATATTTTTTTTTAACTGTAATAATTATAGTTTTAAACTTAATAATGTTTAGAGTAAATGTCATATGAATATTTATGGTTTATAAAAACCAGAATGTCATTTAATTTTTTAATATTGGCTTTAAATTAAAAATTAAGTTAATTTAAATGTAGGTGTAAAACAAAACAAAAAATGCAAAATACTATGAAAACAATAAAGAAAAACTAATTGTGTTTTCAAAAAATTAACAAAAATTATAGGTAAAATGGTAAATTAAAAAAAAAAAAAAAATTTTATTCGATTCTAAAAAACATTTACGTTTGCAAAACATATTAAAAACAATTACATAGCAAGAAATCACTTTAAAAAATATAAAACTCTAACTTTTGTTTCTACATAATAAAAAAATAATAAACAAATACAAAAAAAATGGAAAATATATAAAAAACACAATTACAATAATATGTATCTATGAATATAAGTATGTATCTGTATGTTTTCATTACATACATACATACATATGTATTATTAAGATACAACTAACTGAAATATACTCTACTAAAATTCTAATAGTAAAAAATATATTAAACAAAATGAAAATAGTAATAAAATAAAAAAATATGTGTCTCTTTATGCTCATGTGTACAAAATAAATTGCTGTCCAGTGCGAAAGGCAGAAAGGGACAAGAAAATTAACATTTCTTTTCCAAACCCCTAACTTTTATTCTCATCTGTATGCTAAAACTTATATTATTTTAGTTCTTTTTTTTTTGCTCATTTGATGGTGATTTTGACGATGATTATGAGAGTAGTCGTTGCTATGGTACCTTGTTTATGAATAGAATGTCAAGACACTGGTCTGGTTGCCACGCACAAACAAGAAGGGAGGCATATCACGACTTAAACTTTCCAACCAGGCCATGTACAAAGGTGCCGTTACAATATTCTTGCGTGGCATGGGCAAGGTCATTACAACTAAATCCGATTTAGTAGATTGTTCTCGCAAATATTCACGTAAACGTAAATAACGATTTGTTTTGTCCTGTACAGCCATCAGGTCATCTTCACTTATAAGAACTGTAGGCAGGAATATAAAAAGGAATATGAAGTTAAAACAAAATCAAATGTATTTTTTAGCTTTCCCTTACCATCATCTTCCTGTAATTGTGTTGTATTAGCAGTTGTGCTGGTTTCTTTCTCATTAACCACAAAATCTTTAATTAATTCATTAAAGAACTGTGTTGACGTTTCCTGTGGTTTCTTTGTTATATCCGGTATCAACTGCAAATCGGAATAATCAATACGGAATTTCGATAATAAACTTGCCATGGAACGCTGTTCAAATTCCAATTCGGCTTTTTTATTGGCCAATGCATAAACTCTAAAAAATAATAAAAGAAATCGCACAAACAAAAATAATGTCATTAGTATTTTAATAAAATTTAATAAAAGCGAAATGGAAAAATGTTAAACCAATAAAAATAATTTACTTAATAATGTAAACTTATAAAGCTTCAAGGCATCCAAAAAAATAAGCTAAATAAAATATTTATAAATTGTATCTGACTAATATTCGAATATAAAAATGGAGAAAACTATATAAAAGTTCATTAACACATAAACTTTTCATAGTGTATACATTACACCTAAATATCTACTTCTGTTTTTAATACTTTATTTAATGTAACTTAAAGCTTAAATTTTTTCTATAATAAAAATAACACCAAATCTTTTATTGTCTTTTCAGGTCAACTACAACACCAGGATAATTGTTTGGAGGTCTATCATCAATTCAAATTTTAATTATATTTGTAAATTACATTAATACTCATAAAATTAAGATTTTTATATTTAATAATATTTAAAAAAACATTCTTCATTTTGTTTTAAAATTCTCAAACTACTTATTTTAAAAGATAAATCCATACATTACCTAAGTTTACATGATTGCCATGTACGTCTAGTACTGATAATATAAGGCAAAAGCAGTGTTAAGCCACCATCATCATACAACCACCAAACATCGATAACAGCATGACTGCGTTTGCGAGTAAATTGTGTCAATTGATTTAAAACGTCTTTAGATAATTCAACACCACCCGGTCCTTTATATAAAGCAGCTGGGTCATCATGTTTATTTTTAGATTTTCTCAATGAATTTGTCTGAATGAAATAAGATAATTAAGTTATTTAATAAATGAAATTCCTTTAATGCTTCAGAGAGTAATTCAATTGAAAATTAAGTAAAGTAAAATTACCAATAATTGTGGTGACTTGGGATCAGCTGGATCTGGTAATCCGGATACTTCCTTGGTTTGAGTGCCAGTCACAAAGGATAAGTCGCTAGTACTAGAAGCTAAAATGTAGAAAAATTGCAACAAAAAAGAAATATATTTCATTAGATATACAAATGCAAAAAATAAAATATGTATACAAATAACTAATTAAAATAAATTGATTTTTATTTAAATTTTTTTAAGATAAGTACATGCAACTTCCATTCCACTTCATTATTAAGACACCTAAACGTACAAGTAATTTTGCACCTCCACTTCAAGTATATATTAATCATACGCAGTGTTACATATCAATTAATTTTTTCACTTTTAAGAACTTTAAACATCATTTATTTTTTTAACGACAAACTTTTACATGATGAGATTTCCTTTATATTATGAATATAAAGATCTAAATAATTTTTTGTAAACAAACCAAAATATATCTGTTTTACTTGTCAGTTTTAAGATGATAAATTATTATTAAAACATTATTGCAAACATTCATGTTGATATAAATTAAATGTTTTAAATTCTAGCCTACACAATACCATACATAGCCACACATACATACATACATACATACATACATACATACATACATACATACATACATACATACATACATACATACATACATACATACATACATACATACATACATATATATATACATACATACATACATACATACATACATACATACATACATACATACATACATACATACATACATACATACATACATACATACATACATACATACATACATACATACATACATACATACATACATACATACATACATACATACATACACGTGTATGGATGTATAATATAGGACAAAGTATCAATTTACATTTCAATCATCAACATCATTAGTAATCATCCATCCAGTAATCCTCCAATCTATGGGTGGATACATCAATTCACGCATTTATTCGTGAATCGTTTATTATTATCATATCGTTTGTTAAAAAACGGTTTGTATGAAAAAATGTTTTAGGGCAAACCAAATTTCTACTCAGACTTTAAATAATTTAGGTTTGTATGTAGTGAATGCCAATTTATGTTGAACATCTTATTTAGGTTTAGAAATCGTTTTATTTGCAGACAATGTTTTCATATAAATACATACATTTAACACGTTCACTTAGTCCCCACATTTATACAGTAAGGAATAAAAGTTTTCGCATCTATGAAAACTAAATTTAATACTTTGGGATTTCATTTAAAGAAGACTTGACTGTGAGTTATTTTTTCTATTTTACTGTTGCATTTCGAAAACAAACTCTATTTCAATATTTACACACTCTTTTCTATTAATTTTCTATTTTTTTTTACATTTGTTTCATTATAAGGAGTACGAAGTTTAAGTGGTTTAACAGAAGTGTAGCTATTTAAAATCTAGCTATTTGTTAACTAAAATATGCAGTTTTTCGATGACTTCCTATTGTTTGATAAATGAGGCCAATGTAAAGCAAATTTTTAAAATAAATTTTAAGTTTTGATCTGCTCTGACGTTTTCTCTTTAACTTAAATTTTACTGTTCAGTATAGTCGATTAAATTGGAATCCTAGGCAATACATATACATTAGTGTATAGCACATGAATCCATGCAGCAAGAAGGTCATAGGTCTAAAAATAAGCTACTCTATATTAAATCGTATGTATTTTATACGACCATAAGTTTAATCAAAGCAATTTTGTTTAAAACTGTATGTTTGACAGATATTACACTTTTCGGAGAAATGACTATGTATTGTATTATATACATACATATGTATGTAAGTATTTCAATTTGTGTCTGTGAATAGAAAATATGTAAATTTATTTGTCTAGTATTAGTATCTGATGCCCATGCAAAATATATGTATGTGCTTTCAACGTATCATGTTCATTTTCCCTAACCTAACCCATATTGGCATCATTAAGTCCCTTCTTATTCTTTGCTGGTTAATAATGAATGAAAGACCAGGACGTTTTGTATTGTCTGTAAGTAATGATGAAGAAAAAAATGAAAGAAAGGAAGAAGATCGTGCCAGAAGTTGGTTGATGGTTGGGTTTGTGTGATAAGACCGCATAAGAATCTGATTGTATGTTTAACATACGTTTATGTATGTATTTATTTATTTGATTACTTGATTAGTATATACGCATGCATGTATACTACATCTACATGTATTTATCCTGGTATATGTGTGTAGGAGTATGATTTTGAATTAAATTGTTTATGATGACACATTCTTGGTAATAATCAAATCAATCATTTTATTTGAAAAATTGTTCATATAAGTAATAGAGAAAGTAAGAGTCTATATGTATGTATAAGTTTCGAAATTATCGATTTCATAATATTTAATTTATTTAATTTTATATTAAGTACACTCTTTAAAGTTTACAGAACCATTTATTAAATTCTTGTTTTTTTTTTTCTTTTGCTCAATAAATATATTTTTATCACGAAATTTTGATGGACAACTTATTAACAACTAATAAACCCTAAAATGACTTCCAAAGAAGAACAGAATAAAAAAGAGGAAATTGTCTTTTATATGATTCCTATTCAGTGCCCTTTAAACGACTTCAATAGTTATTATTTTTATGTTATTGTTAGGAAGTGATTTTAATGTTGTTTTAAAAACTACCTAATTTATATATGTATATAATACAACAGAAGGTATGTATGTGATTTTTATGTTGAATGTAGTTTTATTTGGGGTCCCTTAAGTATATCACTTAGTTTTTAAAATAATCCTATTTATTATATATCCATTTTGTCGTTGTATGATATACATATGTGCATATAATTAGGTAATATTATATTGTATTTATATATGTCATTTGTATATTTTTATTATGTTACAAACGAATATGTCAGAAATACTTTAAAAATAACATTTGAATGCTAACATATAGAATAGGGAGATAACTTTTATGTTAAATGTATATAAACCCCAAAGAAGATTTTCTATGCATATCCATTAAAAGTTTTTATTTCTCATAACAATTCAAATAATAGAATAACTTTAATTTGTTGGTATTCTAATATATTTTTCTTTCGAATCACCTTAATTCTCCTTAATTTCTCATACATTTCTGATATTTAATAAATTCTATGATTTTTTTTTTTTTTTTTTGTTTATTCATTTATTTATTTCATTTTCCTTAGTCAGATAAATAAATAATGATTGATTTCCCTTTTCCATTGTTAATGGTCTTATAAGTACTAACAAGGATCAACTTTTTTTGTGCAAAAAATTCAGCTTTTCGTTAACAAAAATAAAGGTAGCGATATTATTGCCCACACATCCACATGTTAAGCAAATAAATAAATGATTTTTATACTCTTAAATACTTAAGTTTTCTATAGAAATTGTCATACAGAAAATACTTTAATATCATTTAACAAACATGATAAATTTTATATAAAAGCAAGACAGTATAGATGGATACGGCCGACCGTAGAATACTCTACACCAGTTATGACTTTTTTTAAAAAAATTATTATGAGATAATTCTAACAAAGTCACAACTCCCAGCAAAAATTTTCGTTACCTAGTAATCTAGAAAGTAATATTGGAATCACGTGTAAACTAATTACTTTTGGGATGAATAACTAATTATTTTTATTCGACGAGGTCCAAATAATATGTACCTACCTTAAACAAATTAATAAATGGTTACTAATTTGATTACAAAAACTTTGCAAAATAACTAGTTACAAATAAACCTACAAATATGTTATGTGATAGCTAGTTATTTTGGGCCGACTTTGTATGTAGAAAACAAAAAATAAAAAAAATTCTCGGCCGGGATTTGAACCCAGGCATTCAGTTGTTTTCTATGTTTCTCACTCCAGCCGCTTACTCGATGCTCCATTAACATGTTGCTTTTTGCAATTTTGAGAACGTCATTTTACAAAAATATATAAATGAATGTCATTTTGGAAAAAAAAATAAACAGTATCCAGCAGGGCTCGAACCACGAACCCCCCGTTTGTTAAATAAACGACCTAGATAATTGAGCCATAACAAATCCAAATTGTTTTGTTCTTTACCAGTAATAACCTATTCAGCTAAATGAAATAATGTGGATGATAATGAACACTCATTACCAAGTATTATTTAAAAAATTTCACTTTTTGATGCAATGTAATTTTTTGGACGCTTCTATATATTCCCTGTGAAAAACAGATGATATCAAGTATCACAATCATTTTTGGAGCCATTGAAGCTTTAGCATTGTATGAAAATGTTTTCTAATATTCAATTCTGTACTTTTACAAAAGTTGCACTTTGGGTTATACAAATACATTCTAGACAAAATTAGTGCAATCGAACTACTCTAATTGTTTTTTCAAGTGGAAACTAAATCTAAACTAAATTGTACATCGATATCTTCTTATTTTAATAAACGTTTGTATTGATTGACTTATGCCCTTTTCGAAATGACAGTTTCAATAATCAAATTCCATTACAATAAAACTCAAATCAAAATAATTCATACTACAGCACCAGAATGCAATTGTAATAAAATATATGCACAATCACATCGGTCAGAAGTTATTGAAAATTTGTATATTGCAACTACGGTTCAAAGATACACAATTAAATGTTATTGCAATGGTTTGAATTTCAAATAAACGAGTTTTTAAACACTTTTGATTAACAAATGATCATTATCAAATCCAAATCCACATGATTTTGGTTTCAACCATAGAACAAAGCGAAGTATGTATATTTTCAAAGGTTAACAAAATTACTTTTTTTTCAGATGTATGCAATATCGCAATTTAATATCATGAAGTCAAATTAATTTATTTTCTTAAACGTTACAAATTCTTTAAATAATCATTTTAAGGAAAACTTTAATGTGGAAATTTTACTTTCGCTGATGATGATAAAATATTATTCCCTGTATTAATATGTTATGCATGGTTAGTTAGTAAGGAATGTTCTAAATAACATTTTCTACTGAAAAATGCTTTGATAAAGTCAAACAGTTTTATTTGAAATTGTTTATGTATGGAACAGCACTAGCACTTAGCAAGAAAAAGAAAACAAATTAATCTTAAGTTCGTTGGTTATAGTGATACATAAAAACATTTCATATTATGTAATTATAAATTTTGGAAATGGCAGAGTTAAAAGATCAGAATGCAATTTGCTAAAGTTTTATGGATATCCTTGATTATCCCGCTAAATTGTTCGAGTCTGAATGTCAAATTTAGCTATTTATATTGAGGGATTTTTAAAGTTGAACTGCAAATGAAACTTTATTGAATTATAGATTATTTTCTAAGAAAACATGTATTTTATCTTGTCACCATTGAGTGTATTACTTAACAAGTCAAAGATCTTTATTTACAGATATGAAAAATAAAATGTCAATTTTATCTTGTAAAGTGAATTTATTTTAAACCACAAGTTAAGTGAAAATTAATATGACTTTCTCTTTCGTGAAAGAAATCTCAAAGGCTTTTTTGCAGTCATTTAATTAGTCACTAATCTTAAATATAAAAATAGTAGCATTAGTTCTGCTTGCGGTAAGGAGTAGAAAGTTTTCGTAAGACATTTGTTCGGTTGCAGCAAACTTGAAATACACTTCACCAAACCCAAAAACTTAAAGAGATTTTACAAACGTAACGAAAAACTTACTTAACTTAAGGTAAACAAAACTTTAACGCATATTTTATAGATGTTTAAAGTTCGTAGATTATTTATTCTAAAATTTAGAAAGTTTTAGGACACTTAGTTTGTTTCTGAAAAGGTCAATGTAGCAAACATTTTAAAATTAAATTTGTTCTATAAAGTTTTCTGTTCACGAACTGTACCTTTAATATTTATAACCTTTTCATAACACTAGTACATCCATATGAAATCAACGTTTAACAAGTAAGAGTTCTATATTCGACTGTGCCGAATCTTATATTCCCTTCACCATGATGTTAAAAAAAAAAAACTAAAAAGTACCAGAAACTTCACTTTTATAGATTTTCGTTCAATCAGGTTGCTGCGTGTGTGCATAAAAGCCAAAAAAGTACCAGTCATAGAACCAAAAATTCAAAAAGTGCCCTTTGAAGGAAGGAAAACGTACCAAAAAGTCCCCTTATATAAAGACTCAGAATATATATGCTTAATAGGGTCGGAAAATTATATTATAGAAATTATAAATGGAATGACAAACTTATATATACCCTTCTCACAAAGGTGAAGGGTATAATAAAAATTAATTGAAAATTTTGGAAGTGCTATGGAGCAAAAAAAAAAAACATATTTAATCCACTGTATAGACTTTTAATTTGTTATTGATTTATTTACATTGATACCATTTATAATGAAAAAAAGTATTTTTGAAAAAATTCATGTAAAACTTACCTTTTGTTAATTTAACATCATTCTCAGTGTTTGTTATTTCAGCAGCATCTTTTAGTTTTTTTTTTTGTATAGATTTCATAAAGTTTTGTTGAATTTGTTGTATTGATTACAAATTGATGAAGTGCGGCAAGGCAATACATATGGCAAGTGTGATGTTAAAAATTATTTATTGTTTTTCAACAAATTAATATTGTGCCATAATATATATAGAAATATAAAAAAATATATTTACAGGTGCAGAATCACAATTGTTGTTGTTTTGTTTAAATAAAAGAAACATGCAAAATATAAAATAAAATAAAAAAATTAGCAAATTATAAAATAATAGTAAACTAATATTATTAATAATATTTTTTATATTATAACAAACATGCTAGAAGCATTAACCTTGATATTCGTCTACGTTCATTTTCTCTTTTTTCATATAAAATCTTATAAACCATCAATAATTTTATAGATATTTATTTAATTTTAAAAGTCTTCTATAAAAGCTCTTTATACTAGTCATTTTGCAACATCATTAGTTACAAATCTGTTATTAAGAAATTTTAAGTGATTCTTCTCTAAATTCCTGAAATTTTCCTACAAAAACTTAAAATATTACATAATGATTTCTTATTACATATAAAATAGTTTGTAAAATTAATCAAACCTTAGTCATAGATATTAATTAAATAGTCATACTAATCTTTAAGGTTGTTAAAGAACACTTTATATTAACATTTTAAAGAAATCTCTGTTTGAGTGTAAGTATATATGGATTACTTATGTATACATCTGTCTACTGTATTTTTGTCTTGATATTGACCAATATTTTTGGGTTAGAAATCCCTTGATAAATTAATATATATGGATTTTGTCGACCGGAATGTATGTTTGTTTTGTAATGTTAAAACAAGTGTAATTTAAGTATAATGTACAAAGTACACTACTTGCACAGTATGTATGCAATGACATTTGAACATTTAGTTTGTTTGTCAGTTACTCCGTTCGTCTGATTGTCTGTCTGTCAGTTTCACTGCAGAAATATTTATTATTATTATTGCTGCTAAGTCTTGGCTAAGAGAAATCACATTAAAATATAAGAAATATTTTTAAATTTATACAATTTATTTACCTTGTGATACATTGCGACTCAATGAATCCATGCTGCCACTTAAACCATTTTGTGCGCTACGCTCTACTGCATTTAGATCGGCAGAACTTTCGTTGGGTTGTAGGGTGCGTGGCACATCAAAAATATTTCTTTGAGCACTGCTTTCGTCTCCCAAAATTTGGGAACAATCCAAACCTTCTGGTACACGTAATATGGCAACGGATAAGTACATGTCCAATGCCTGTAAAATTGATAGCGAAAAAAAGCCATTAAATTTTTTGTTTAAAAATTAAAGTTCTAGTGAAATTCTGTTAAAAATCCTATATTAGGTAATAATAGTTTTATTTAGTAAAAATCGTCTTTTAATTAAAAATCGTATTTCTAGGAAAAAATCCAATTTTCATTAAAGAATAAATGTGATGAATAAAAAAAAAAACAAATTCATTCAACTCAAGTTAAAAAAAAAACTAAAAATGTTCAAATATTTTAAATACTATATTAAATCTTGTTCTACTTTAATTCCAGATAAATTCCAACACAAGTTGAATGGTTTAAACTTTAGTAGCTACTTGGATTTTCCAACAATTAAAACATTTTGCAGATGAAGAAAATTCCAAGTAAATTTAAATCTATCATAACAGACCTAATAGTTATATCCTATCTTTATAGTTTCACCCACCCACTTTTACACTCATCTTACTCACCTTGTGCATGATATTGAAATATTGATTTAAATCCTTATGTTCACATGTCTGCCAATCTGCTTTGTAGCCCATTAATAAAATGTTGGGTTTCAGTTTGCCAATGCCAGCAGCCTAAATGTGTAACAAAAACATAAAAGAAAAGTTAAAGGAAAAAAGTCATTAATCAAAACAGAAATTATACAAAGAACAATAAAAAGTTGAAAAATATTTATAAATAAGAAAAATTTAGTGTAATGACCTCTGACAAGGACTTTTTGGGAACTAAAGCCTCCGGCAAAGCGTTGAAATAACACTTCATTTTTCATTCTCATTATAACGCCAAGACACACACACTCAAATACTCAAGAGAGTGTTTTTCAATTAACCACTCTGTTATTATTTAAATCTTAACTCAAGCCTTATACTATTTAATATACTAACCTGCATTAGAGCTCTTGAGCCAGATTCGAAATCTTCACCATCCACCAGGGAATAGAAACCTTTAACACGATGACGACGGAACCAAGTGGTGGCACGTTCTTGCAGATAATTACGATAACGCTGTGAACTTGAACCACGCAAGACGTGACCGCACACCATCAGCGATAAGTTTTTAGTGAGCATGTAGGCAAAGTCAACAAGTACGGGTCGCGTGTTTGGCAAACCGGATAAGACCAATATTTGCGGACGATAGTTTTTAACATGCTCCTCAACATTATTCAATTGTTGCACAGATAACAAGGCATTCTTGTACGTTTGTGCCTGTGTAGTGGAGCCCCAATTGACGTCTGGCTTCCGATAGGCAACAATTAAGTACAATGCCAACACAACGGAAAATGTAATCAAAGCTGTTGCCCATGATATCAAGAACATTACAGCCACACACAGGATAGAGCCCAAGAGACTTAGCCACATATTGTAATACTGTACCGAAAAGAAAACAAAAACAAAAAGAATAAGTAGGAAAAATATTAACAAAATTTCCTGAAAAAGATATTGTCTTTACCATTTCCAAAAAAAAATTTAACATAAGATATAGTTAAGATAAAAATCAATTAAAGGAAAATTTTCAAAATAAAATCAATATAAAAATTAAGTGGAAAAGTAAACAATTACAAAATTAAACATGAAATTTTATTTGAACTTTGTTCATTCTCGAATTAACTGAATTATTAACCAGTGTCCGTAGTCTGAACAACAAATCAATTTTAATCCGAAATTAATTATGAAAATTCTATTTGTTCGAAAATTATTTAAAGCTTTTAAAATTATCACCACAATAGCTTTTAAATTTTGTATAAAATTTCTAACTTTTGTTCCCACCTATTAAAATTTAATTTGGGAAATGGTGTACAGACTAAATATAGCAATTCAAGTTAGGCAGAATGTATTTTGTTACAATGATTACTATAATTTGCAGCGTATATAAATATACTTATGTATGTGTCTATGTGTAAGTTTACCAAAATACTTACTTTAAATGTTGGACGCCAACCGACGGGTTTAGCTAAACTGGCATGGAATGTACTAAAGTTGATCAACATATAAGCTGCCAAAAAGAAATTCGATATAAGTGGAGCAATGAGATTTAGTTCACCAATTAAGATGAAACTATAAAAGCCAATACAAATTTAACAGTCATCAGAAATCCAACACGAGCCATAATTATACACACATATACATACATATAAAGAGGAAACCAAAAACGAAAAATTACAAATAATTAAATATAAATTAAAGATTAATTATAATAATATACTTTGAGAAGTACTTTTGTCACTTGGGATGTGGATACTTACGCTACAGCAATTATAAATGTCAAAACGTAACCACGAACTGGCTCATTATTTTTGCCAAAACCTTTGGCGAACCATACAATTTTTGGATAAAGTTCATCTTTGCATAAAGCCTACACGAAAAGTGAAATGTGAAAACGTTTGTGTTGAAAATAAATTGTTTTGTGTTACAATCAAGATAAAGTTGTAATTGAATTGTGACTGTTTTGGGAATAACAAATGATTTTTACCTGGAAAACTTTTGGTGCTGACACTAAACTGGCAAGGGCTGAGGATAAAGTGGCTGCAAAACAACCAGCATAGATTAGGGGACCGAAACCCGATACTAATTCAATTACTTGGAATGAATTTTGTAGACCATATTCGCAAACAACTGAAAAATAAAGAAAGGGAAATTAAGAGAAAATATAACGTAATATAATTAATAATTTTTTAAAAAGGATATTTTTTCCTTTATACTACTTATTTAGAGGAAAAAAGGTAAAAGCAGAGTATTGTTGTTGCGTGCTTTGACTTTTAATAAATTCTTTATAGTTAGCAAAACAAACTAAGTTAAATTGATTTGAAATTGCATTTAAGGCTTTATAGTAATTGTAATATTGTTTTCTTATACACATGATTTCTTGAGAAAAACCTAAAAATTTACTTTTATGTCTAAAAGAATTTGTTGCAACAATTATTTGCACATGGACATTACTTTGACTTTAAGCTTTCAATTGATAAACTTTTTTTCAAATCCTATAAACATTCTTTATTCCAACACTTTTAAGAGCATTAAATATTTAAAAAAAAAATCTACTTAAATAAAAAACGGTAAAATTTTTAAAGTCCTTTCAATACAATATTATTTATATTATCAACAATCCCTAAATAAATTACACAAAACTTTGCTTTAAACAAACGCAAAAAATCATACCTTTTTCATTCTATATTTTAAATTCTATGGTACCAAATAATAAAGTAAAAAACAAAATTAATAAATATTAAGTTAAACAAAACACGTTTATATACTTAAAACATGACTAACAACAATTTTGCAAAAATAAACAGAAAAAACAACGAACGAACCTTTATGCTAAACATAAATTTAAAAAATGAACAAAACCTGACAGTAAATCTTTTTTTCAAATTTACAAAATTCCTAAGAATCTAATTTCTTGAAAAGGAGTACTGGTCAACATCAACAACACACTCACAGAAAATGTAAAACTATGAGCGGGTGTGTGTGTATATACTTACTTCCTGTACAATTCAAAAAGGCAAATGAGCCATTAACCATGTCAGCAACATCGCCAGTAGCATCACGAGCTACGGTAGCACCAGCTATTACAACCATAATCAAATATGTGATTGTTGTTATTAAAATGGCCAATAAAGTACCTTTTGGTATGGATTTTTGTGGATCCTTTTTTGAAAGGTATGAAAGTAGAAAAAAATGTAAACAATAAAAGTAAATAAATGTTTCATAAAGAATACAAAAAAATTAAAGGAATTTAGGACCAAGAAGAATTAAATAATAATGATGGTAATATGTATTTTGTTTACCTTTAAATCACCGGAAATGTTGGCACCAGCTAAAATACCAGTTGCTGCGGGAAAGAATATGGCAAAAACGGAAAAGAAATCATGACGTACACCCTTTTCCATGCGATAATCCGCAAAAAAGTTATCCTTTAATAAGGTCACTACAAGTAATTAAGTACAAAAAATTAAATAAAGTGACAAAATTACAGCGTTAATAGGGGAGGAAAAAACCTACTATTGTAACCGAGAAAACCTTGGGCACGCTCTTCATCACTTTTAGGACCAATAATACTGCCAATTACAAAATCAGCTATGGCTATTAACAATATAATCAATAGACCAATTTGTGCCTAAAACCAATACAAACACATAGTTAATCACTAAATACAAATTAATTAATTCATTGCTGTTAACACCAGAATGTCAACTGTTACTTACTTTGGCTTCCCATTCCATGCCCACGACAACAATCACCAACAGAATTAGTATTGTAATGCTGCCAATAATGCGTACATCCTGTATGCTGCCGTCAATTATGCTGAGACCCATGGAATTTAATAAATCTAACATTGATTCACAAAAACCCACCACATACATCGCACATGCCACCGCATTTGCAAGTGAGAATATTAAACCAATCGAACCACCAAACTCCGGACCCAACGAACGTGATATCATGTAGTATGTGCCACCTAGAGCAGAAAAAAAGAAATAAGTGAAAAAAGAAATCACATTCAATAAATATTTTTAACATGTGTGGTCCAAAGATTTTATTGTTTGCTTATTTTCCCTTTTAATTGGGTGTTGAAAGTAAGTAATGCCTTGCCTCTACTTGTATTTAATAAACTATTTGCAACATTTTTCTTTAACATTTTGTTGTGAATTGAATTTGAAATGGTTCATAAGATTTATTACTTATTTTTTTGCCATCATCATCATTTTTACATTTATTTTGGCACCGTCATCATTTGCACTGTCGCTTAGAAGACGGGACAAAGGTTTTCTTTTGTTTTTCTTAGTTGTTCAAGTGCTTTGTATTTCATTTGGTCCTTTTAATATAATAAAATTAAAAGAAAAATCAATCCCAAGGCCATTTTTAAGTGCTAAAACTAAGGTGATTTGTTTTGTAGTTGGCCAAAAACAAAAATATTGTATGATCGAGTAGAGTTCTGTAGAGTTTATGAAATATAGTATATCGAAGAGCCCAGAAAGAACTTTCGACAATTTAAATTTTTTTAAAATTATATCTTAAAATGAAACTAACATAAATGGGAAATTTAACATGAAATATTTTTTTTTTGAAATCTGCCGAATTTACATGTATGCGTTAAAAATATATGTATGTACATATATGTTTGAGTGCATTTAACTTTCAAAAGTCCCTCATGTATGTATATATGTATGTGGCTAACACTTTGTTCCCAAAATTAAAAACAATTTCAAAGAAACTGTGATTTTAACAAGAATTTAAAAAATATTATTAAACAATTTTTTGTTTTATGATTTTCTTAGAATTGACCTTAAACCTCTGACCTTTAGTGCTATTATATTCCATTAAATGTTTTTTTTTTTTAATTTTTGATGCATTAAACGCCCTTTTAAGTTTCAAAAATAATATGTATTTTGACCTTTTAATTTTGTCATGTTATTAAAAAACGGTTCGGTCACAGTGTTATTATAATGACGCCCAATCTGGTGTGAAACCTACGCGAGTCTGTATCAATGGATTCCTTTAAATAATTGGCTGTGGTATTGACCTCAATAACATATTTTTTTTTGAAGATTGTAAAGGTCTAACTCTTAACTGGTTTGTACTAAACTTTTTAGTTGTACTAACTAAAATTGAAAATTTTCGATCAATTATTGCTACAACCAAACAAAGTATTTTGGTTAAATTTTATTATCAAAAATACCATGCATTCGTATAATACTTGCAACCCATTATTTGCTACGACTTTTAGTTCAAACAAGCATTTTGTTGCATCACTGCTTCAAACATCCTTTACAACTTTGAAATGTTGTCTTCCAACATAAAGTAAAAAATTTTAAAGGCAATTTGTTAATTATGTATATGTAGAAATCTGTTCAAGTAATTATCATATAAATACAATAAATTCCCTCAAGAAAAAGTAAGTTACAAAAGAAAGAAATTAAAGTATTCAACACCCAACAGTGCTTAAGTAAACTGTAAATATATTCAGAGAAGAAAAAAAAAGAATTAGAAATAAAATTCTTATAATTACCCTCGTCTGACATATAAATTGAAATTATAAGTTGAAATGTTTTCACATCTTTGTTTGGTTGTACTTACCGCCCTTGATGACACCGTTAGTACTAATCGCCGACATTGACAGTGCTGTAATACTGGTGACAATTGTTGTGGTTAAAATTAAAATGAAACCCTCCATGATGCCAGCCTGACCGACAACCCAACTGAGACGTAAAAACAACATGACACCCCAAATGTTTAGCAGGCATCTCACTAAAACACCTTTGATCCAACCAAACTTTAACATCCCATTCATGGCTGCACCACCCGCCTCCGGATCCTGATTGCGATTCAAGCTGTGAGTATTCTACAGGGAAATGAAACAAAACCAAAAACAAATAAGAAAAAAACAAACCAGGAAAGTTGTTGTAATATGATAAAGAAAAACAAATCTTATAAATTTTATGGTTTCTACAAAATGAAAAATAAAATATACTTCACATACTCTTCTCATATTCAAATTGCATTACATTTTTATGATTGTAATGTTACAGTTTTACTGATACAATTGCTAAAATACATTACACACATACTTTACATATACCACACATGTCGTCTACAGGAATTGAAAACATTTTAGAAAATCAAGGATATATGTATGAATTTCACACAAATATGTAAAAAATAAAAAAGTAAAGTAACATTTGTCAAAAAAAAAATGGTTCTTTAAGTTGAACGAGAATTCTTCTTATTCATACAAAATGTGAATTTTAAAAATATTTATAAAAGTTTATGATGTACGACTGTATGCAGCAATTTTATTATAGCTTGCAAAACAAAAATAATCATAAAGAAAATATTAAAATAAAAATAAACATGTGACTAGGCAAGTTTTAGCTCCAAAAATAGAACTTAAAAGGTAAAAATAATATAAATAAGGAAACAATTGAAACTGAATTGCCACAATTTAAAGCATTTGCAGAACGAACAAAAAACTTTCCTTTGTCTATTAAATTTTAGAAAATATGTATTTCAGTTTCCAGGAAATAAAATTTAAATTATTGTTTTCAAATACACAGGCATCCACCCTTAAGCGAACAAAATTCAAAGCAATAAAAGGTTAAAAAGTTTTTTGAACAAATATTTTGTTTATCTTAAAATGATTAAAAGTTTGTTTGATAATGGCAATATATTTTCAGGAATATTATTAATTTAAATATATTTTAATAATAACTCGATATTAACATTTTCTTGTAAACAAAATTTCCAAAGGGATTTTTAATTAATTAATTTAAATTTGTACATATTTATAGCATTAGGATAATTTATATTAAAATTTTTATAGGATTTCTTAGGAAAAAATCTAGCTAATTCGGTACGAGTATGAAATCAAAGTGTTCTTGATCACAATTATAAATATAAAATTTATTTTTACGTAATAAATTATATCTTCCTCAACCCAATGCAAATCGTAAAACTGTAAAAATAAACAAATTCGTAAAATTATCAAAAGTATCTTACAAATATGTATGTTAAAATAAATAATCAGATTGGATAATTTTATCTTAATAACGTTATATTTATGGGATTTCTAAACAATAAACAGAATTTATAGTAAAATACTTTTTAAGTGGGCTATGATCAATTACACAATCCAATAATTCTTAATACTGAGACCAAAATACTCTTTTCATTTCCTTCACCTTCGTGAGAAGAGTAAATATAAGTTTGTCATTGCGTTTGTAATTTCCACACTATAAAGTATATATGTATATATATTCTAAATCTTATAGGTAGCGGAGTCGATTTGTCTGTTATGTTTGTTAAAACATACAGACGGACATAAATTTTCAACAATTCTATCAGACATGCTTTCGAGAAGTTTCCTATTTAATCAAAATCCGTCCATTAAAAAGCATGTTAAGCCCGGATTAAATGAGAACCTATAAAAGAGTTCTTCTTGGTACATGATTATTTTTCGTTCTTCAAAAGGTACTTTTCGAAGTATCTATAATATTGAACCTAGAAACATAAAATTAAACTTTCAGACTCCTATGTGAATGAAAATTTTAAATTATTTAACTGGTACTTTTGGTTTTTATGCAATATTGGTTCTAGAAACATATAATAAGACATATGGGCAATTTCATATCAAGTGACCCAACTCAAAAAATCGATTTTGACGAAATTTGCACCAAAGTTAGTACAACTGGATAGTAGGCCAGACATAAATTTTCAGCGCTATCAGCCCAAAAATGCTGGTATATGAGAGGGTCATAGTTGGACATTTTGGTCATATAGGGTTCTATTCAAATGAGTGTAACTTTTCACCTATTGGTCCTAGCAAAAATTGTCCAAAGAAGTTTAGATAACTATTTTTTCATGCTTCCAAAAATAGTACTAACCTTGGTGCAAATTTCATTAAAATCGGAAGACATTGATTTATAAAATTGGGTCACTTGACACGAAATGACCCATATGTATATCCTGGTGGAATGAAAATGGTACTTTTTGAATCTTTTTTAATATTGAACATATTTAGAATTAAATAGTCTGCGCCCTGATTAAATGAAATTCTATAAAAGGGAACTTTCTGGTACTTTTTCGTTTTACAACTGGCATTTTTTTAAATTCAAATTTTTGTAATAAACTTCGTACAGACTTCGTAATAATACCCACCCCACTATAGTGCTGTAAGGAATAAAATATGATGTAAATTAAAAAAAATATTATATAATATGCTTGACTAAACAGGAAACCCTAGCAACTACCACATATTTAAGTAATTTACCTTTTGGTAAAATTTTCTAATTAGTTTTTTTGCTTGTAAAATGAAAATTTCCAGAAAACTATTTTTCATAAATGAATATTATTTACTTTTGTTCGTAAGTACTTTCTTCTAAGAATCTACATACTTAATGCGTATCCAGTGGTAAAAAAAGAAGCTTTAAAACCTTTTAAGCGTTTTAACAAGTTTTTCCTTTATTTTTCTAATAATATTTGGGTTGCAATAATACACGTAAAACAATAGAATATGTACATGGAAACCTGTTTGAGAATAGAAAATTCACTCGTGTAGAAGAAAAGTAATTACAGAACCCACAGGCATTGTTTATTTATATTTATTTGTACCGAATATAAGATATCCTATACTCAGTAGGATTTTATAACAGAAAGTTTTCAAAAAGTTTAACAATTTTCAATGGTAACACAAATACTCCATCACAACAAACAACCATATTGTGTAGAGTATCACACAGATACTCGTACTCCTGCCAACAAATATAAAATCACACCTTTAATATACAGTTTCAAATTATACAAAAATCAAGGCAAACAAGCCCATGCAACCACAACCCAACAAAAAGGGAAACACAGGATTTTAACCAATAAAAAAATATCATCTTAAGAGGGAGAAATAAACCGAGCATCTGGTACTTGTACTCTGTGAAAATAAATGTTTCATAAGACAAATATTTATGATTATTTGTCATAAGGAAAATTGAAAAATGTTTATGAAAAAAGAACCGACGAACGATTATGAACGGAAACCCACAACGAAAACCTTTTTATTCTTTCCATTTTAATCAAAAAACTTTTGAAAAAGTAAAAATAACGCAAAAATATTGTTTAAGTAATTTAAAAATTCAACTCAAATGGTTTCATTTGAAGTCATTGGTATTATTTTTATTTGTATTATTTCATTTCGCTTAAGTTACGTTTCTGTTTTCAAATTCAATTTGCAATTACTATAATCATGTGATAGAAAAAAATACATTTTTATAAATCGAATTTGTGTTCTAGATTCTTTTTGCTAACATTTAAAATATTTTATTTACAAATGTCCAAATAATTCAATTAGTCGTAAAAAGTACACGACAATACACGACATTAGATTAGACCGACTCATTCTTTATGGAAAGTAAAATCCTATTTTTTGTTATCCATATTAAAATTTACCCTGTTTTGTTTTATGGTGATTCCCAAAACATTATGAATCCAGAGATGGCAGTTCGAGAGTATGGCCAATTTAAAAGAAACCAAAACCACAACAAGGTATATTTTGAGAAAAGTAAATCAAGTACTAATTTTGTTAGGTCCGTCTAATGTACGTAATTACATTTGAAATTAAAATTCGCAGAAATCTGCACAAACAGTTATTTATATACAGTATGTATGTATTGTATGTACCAGGAATTAAAATTCAATAGTATTACACTTTTTTTTCTCTGAATTTTTTTTCCTCTGAATACAAGTGCAAATGCGAATTATTATATATACAAACGAAAACTTTCAGTACATATGCACAAAAAAAAAAAATAAGGTCAAACAAATTAGGAAATTAAATGATCGTTCCAATAATATTTAAAGCACTAAAACCGGTTGAGTCAATTATAAAATAGTGAATAATATTTTCTAAAAAGTAATTTTTGTGCATGGTTCTGCCGGTTCATGTACAAGCACTTTGCTCAAGTAATCGAGCTATCCAACACAAAGTATACAGAGGTTTCAACTTTGATATTTAAAAAACTCTAAAATCAGATGTTGTCCAGCTTTTGTGAAAATTGTGTTGAAAGAGATAAAAATGGTTTTTTGCTTGTGACGCTTCTGTATACCCTGTTATCTAATCTCTGACCATTGCTACATCGTTGCTTAACTTCCGAGATGCTAAAAACATCACTTCTGTTTAAAGTATAAAATAAGCCGAAGACTTTGGTTCTTACTAACAGAGAGCACACTGTTATATATCTGGTTTGAACAGAGTAAACCCTGAACATAACTGGACAAAGAAGGAAAATTGAATAGTATTCCATCCATTCAACACAGCACACTTCTCATTCATTGAATACAACATCCGACACACTCACTGTAGCTATACAGGCGGGTAAGTTCCGAAACAATATCTAAACATAAGTAACTAAAATATTAGGCACTAAATCAGATTTAGTTATATTGCTAATAATAATAAACTTTAAATTTGTCAATTTGTTTCTAATAATGCAATGTTTGTATGTAATTGTTACATCAAATAAAATTAAAAAAAAAACAAGTAAGAAAGTATAGTCGGGCGTGGCCGACCATATGATACCCTACACCAGTTATGAATATTAAATGTGATTTATTTTTCATAATAAAGCATTTATCTTCAATATTCCCTTGTTCCGATACATTTAAGCAATTTATGGATGAAAAGCTAATTTTCTGAAAGAGGCTTTATATGGGGGCTATTGGCAAATATGGACCAAGCCCGATAAAATTTTGTGAATATATTTATATTTACATAATATTTTATTGTGCTGCATTTCATCGCGATATTTGTGTTTATAAGTTAATTTGGGACATTCAAGTAATTTTCTGAAGGGGACTTTGTATGGGAGCTAGGGTCAAATGGGGCCCGATCTTTATGAAATTTGGCAGGGTCATCAAGACTTCTATAAAACTTAATTGTGCCGTATTTTATCGATATATCTGTATATTTAACATAATTATGAGCTCAGAAGCCCTTTTCGGGGGGTTCTGTTCTATGGGGGCTAGGTGAAATAATGGACCGATTTTAACCATTTTCAATAGGCTTCGTCCTTAGGTCAAATAAAACGTGCGTGCCAAATTTCATCCAATTATCTTGAAAATTGCGACCTGTACCTTGCGCACAAGGTTTACATGGACAGCCAGCCAGACGGACGGACGGACGGACATAGCTTAATCGACTCAGAAAACGATTCTAAGCCGATTGGTATACTTTAGGTGGGTCTATTTTTGTATGTTACAAATCAGCACAAATCCAATATACCATCCCCACTAAAGTGGTGTAGGGTATAATAAATTAAACAATATAAACCAACTGAAATGCAATAAAAATATCCATTCATTATTGTAATAAATTCAATTGACACTGCACTCTTCGGGCAAATGAACTGTGATCATTCAATAAAGTCAATCAATTGTAAAATTGTGTAAATGTTTTTAGTTTTTTTTTTGTGTATGTATGTATGTGTGTATGTATGTATGTTGAAATTTTAGCTGAAATTTTTTATTATTATGTTCAAATGTCATGACCCTCATGTGTTGTTCTGACAATTATATATAGGGTATTCAAATAACCTGTTTTTATAGTACTATGTATATAGAGTAAAAGATTTCATTTTAGTCAATCCTTCAGAATTTAATAAGAATTAGCTGTTAAGGTTTTCATTTTTGAGGATCTAATTGTTTTGTCCCCTTTTAATCAATACAAAAAAAAAACTTTGTTTTTCGGGATACTCTGTTAATCAGTACAGCACTAACTTATTTATTAAACAAAAACTAAAATACTTGTGTGAAATAAATCAAAGAGTTTATTACAATTACATTACAATAAACTTTTGCAAATGAAATGATCTTTTAAAACATTGCGTTGTCAACTCAGTGCATTTTTAATGCTCACGAATATGGAGTAAGTGGTTGTTGGTGCCTTTTAAAAATCTTGTACTTTTAACTTTTGCTTTAAAAAAATACTCACAAATATGAAACATCTTTAAATTTGATTTTCCATAAAATTAAACAAATTATGAAAATGTTTTTATAATACATACATATATTGTGTATATTTTATGGTCAAAGGTTTCTGCTTTTCTTTGTTTTTAAATTAGGTTAATATTGATTCCTCTATTTCGAATGAAAGTTGTGAATGGAGTTTGAAAAAATGCCCATTTAGCCCATTTATAGACGTTATAATAGCGCTAAGACAACTTTATTTATATTTATTTCTGCATGATATCTAAAAGTCTCTTCCGTCAGCTTTGAAATGAAGGCTTAACATCTGACATGTCTTCTTTCTCCTTCGAAACATATTCACCTTAAGCTTGTAACAGCAATAAATTGAAAAAAAAAAATAATTTTTTATAAAATCTTATAAAATGACTCTTTGAATTGTGTAAAAATCATCTGTAATTGCTGAGATATCATCCGTTGAAATTGACGGAAGGACAGATATCGTTAAGTCGAATCAGAAAATGATTTTCTGTCAATTGGAACATCCTGAGGTAGGTGTGGATCCAGTATATTTGTCCGTCATAAACAATATTAAAAATCATAATATATAATAGTGACAAAATGGACTTTCAGGTGGCATACAATATTTTATAAACAACATTTTTTTTTGGCGTTGTTATAAGGGGCCAAAATAGCTTTTTCAAACTCCAAAACACAAATCCCAGAGGTGATGGAGAAAAACTGATCCGATTCAGATTCAGCGCGGTTCAATCCTTTAGGCCTTTTTTGGAATTCCGTGGGACTGTGTAATCTTTCTCATACTAGGAAAATCTGGTGTATTGTTTTCTTGTTTCAATAGAGAAATAAGATATTTCACGACTAGAGGACTTTTAGTTAGGCATATCATATTCATTTCATAAAGGTACACAGAGGGAAAAAGAAATATACACGCCTGGTACCAAATTGAAACCAAACTGTTTATAATGTTTCAATAACATCCGTTGTCAAAGTATATACATACGTACGACAACACTATGTAATGTTGACAACATTACAATAATTCGTTGTCGAAATCTAAATTTTATACACATCCGTTGTCTAAATGTTAACAAACGTGGTAAGCTCACTATTGACAAACAATCCGTTGCCAATAGTGAGCTTACCACGTTTGTTAACATTTAGACAACGGATGTGTATAACATTTAGATTTCGATAACGAATTGTTGCAATGTTGACAACGTTGCGTTGTCAACATTACATAGTGTTGTCGTACGTATGTATATACTTTGTCAACGGATGTTATTGAAAAATTATTAAATCTTTGATGTCAATTTGGTACCAGGAGTGTATATTTCTTTTTCCCTCTGTGTAATAATGCTTTTAAAAATAATTTTATCTTTTAAACAGATATATTGAATATAATTCTCATTTATTTTATAATATTATTCGTAAGCTCCGACGAGCAGTTATTTTTACGTGAAAAACTACAAAATATTGAGTTAAAAATAAAAATACTATATAGTAGTTTATCCATTACTTGGTAATAACAGTTGTTGAACTATTTATGTTATTATTAAAATAAATGTTTCATTCTAAATTTAAAATCCATTTTAACTAATCTTTATTTAACAATACCATTTGTTTTTAATTAATTAAAAAATATTAGGTAATACAAAATTGTAATAATAAAATTTTTATTTATTACCAAAAGTGACCTTGTGGTTGGATTATATTTAAAAGGGAAATAAAATTCCTTCCAAGAAAACAACAAAACGAAATATTCAAGTTAAATGTCAACAAATATTGTCTAATTAAGTTGATGTCTTTTGCTATTATAAGTTTAAAGGTTGACAGTTTGCAAATGTTGCCATTTAGCAATCTTTGCAATCTGTCACATTTGTCCCCGGAATTTTGTAATTTTTCACTTAAACGAATGACCTTAAAACTGTGTCCTTTTTTTTTGTAACAAAACCAAAATAATAAAAATATTACAGAAAAATGAACAAGGGAAAATATAGTGTTTTTGAAATGAAAACCCCTTTTTTAAAGTCATAAATTTATTTATATTTTTATTGTTATTTATTGATAGAAATAGTAACTAGTTTGTGTAAATTTACACGATGACATACATTTTTTGTATTTTTTTTTCCATAACTACTGTTGTTTTTATGTTCAATTAATTTTATGACAATTTTTTATGATCAACCAGACCACAAGTGAAGAGTTTACAAATTAAGACCATCAATTAATTGATTAATATTTGTCAATTTGTTTTTGCTTTTGAGAATGTTTTTTTTACAGGCGAACTAACCACTTTTAATCATTTAATCACTAAAACAGCGGCAGAAAAACTTCGAGTGTTTTTTTTTTATTATTACAGACTGTAGGGTCAGGTCATGAACTAATGAGCCAAACATCATTTGTGGCTAAATGAAAATTTATTAAGGGCAGACAGATAGACAGATACAGGGACAATAGGACAAAAACTAAAACATGGTACGACCATTAAGAAAATTAATATCACAAATAACGAGAGTCATTTGAAAATTAGTAAAATTTCTTTTGGTTTTAATTTTTTAAATAGAATGATTCAAAGTGAAATAGTTTAGAATTCGATAATGGATAAATTGTATATCTAATGTTAAAGTATTTCATTTCCGTTCAAGCTATTTTAAATCGTATATAAACTTAAGTCAGTTTTACATTATCGTCTGAGAATGTTATTGACGTTCATAGTGTGTGTATTGGTGTCAAAACCAGATTAATCAAATAAAAATTTTACTGAACTTATTGCACCATCCTCGTTAGTTTAAATAAATTAATTAAAAATTAATAAATATTGCTTTGAAACCACGAGTTCAAAGTTCAATTTATAGTTTAAATTAATGTATAATAACATGGTGTAACAAAATTACAAAAAGTGAATATATTTTCCACGTGAACTAGTGAAGTTTGTAGGTTTAGTAGAGTAGATCACAACAACATATTTAGAATTTTTAATGTATCTCGAAAATCGGGAGTTTATCTTTCTGTTGCTTTTAAAAAAATTTAAATCGGATAATTGAAATTTGAGATAAAATGTTTTGAGTCCGAAAAAAATTTAAAATCCTAACTATTTTCGGGGTTTATTAAAAATTCTATATACGATCAATAACTTTTTCTGTCACACTGTGTAATTAGTACACTTTTAAGCTGTATTATCCCTTACCTTTCCAGTTAAAGTGGCATTATGAAGTTCATCCAAAGTGGGACGGTAGGCAGCTTGTATAGACATGATATTACGATAATTATCCAAGCGTGGTAATGCTTCTCTGGTAAAATGTCTGAAACAACAAGAAAATTAACATAAATTATTATTACAAATACAGACTTTTCAATTTTACGTTGTACTCACCGAAAACTTTTACCATATTTCGTATCATATTCATTCTCCAACAGTTCACGATCTTCATTGGAGTCATCGGAGTCTTCTTCATTTTGTGGTTCAACTTGAAAACGTGTTGTCTGCAGGTCTTTAAAACGCGAAGGTTTATCCTTGTCACGAAAACTGCTTTTGATAGATTGCCTACAAAATGGAAACAACAAGAAAACATAACAGAATTATATTATGAATATATTTCATTTTGTTTAAAACCTAGAGATAAAAAACAGAAAACAAGAAAGTGCCTTAACATCCTTTTCGAATAAGACCAGTCTTTATGTTTCAAACCCCTGCGTAACAAAAGCAACAACATTCCGCCACAAAAAAAAATATGCGCTTATTAAAAAATCTTTTTTTTTTAAGGCAAACAGAGCAACTGTTTTATTTGTTGTATTAATTAGAGAAAATGTGTGAAAAAAACACATTTTGTTTTCCTTAACATTTCAGTTTTTTCTTTTTCTCTGTAGCAGTTGAAGATAAACACATCCCTTAATTTTTAATCCGATGTTTATTTTTTCGCCCACTTTCATTTAACATTCTGTAATGCCAAATAAAATTTAATTATATTGAGTAAAAACCATCTCAAACTTTGTAGGGAAAAGAAAAACGCAAATGTAATCTGATGTATTCTTTGGAGGTATTTCATATTTTAAGACATTGTGGTATACAAAGTTTTCAACTATATAGAGAACTTTATGTTACATTAATTGGAACACATCCGCATAGCTGATTGTATGTTTATAGGTTCAATATTGCATAAAAATCAAAAAGTACCAGTTAAAGAACGAAAAAGTAAGAAATATCCTTTGGTAGAGATTTTCATTCATTTAGGACTCTGAATTTTATGTTTCTAGGTTCAATATTGTAGAAAATTCAAAAAGTACCAAAAAAAAGTCCCCTTTTATAGGTTCTCATTAACTCCGCGCTCTACATGCTTAATTTCATGTTTCTAGGTTAAATAGTTATAGAAAATTCCAAAAGTACCATGTGAAGAACGAAAAAGTACTCTTTTATAGGTTCTCATTTACTCAGGACTTAAAATGCTTGATTTTATGTTTCTAGGTTCAATATTATAAAACTTCAAAAACTACCTTTTGAAGAACGAAAAAGTACAAAAATATCCCATTTTGTAAGTTCTCATTTTCTCCGGGCTTTACATGCTTAATTTTATGTTTCTAGGTTCAATATTATAGAAAATTAAAAAGTATTTTTTGAAGAACGAAAAAGTCGCGTTTTATAGGTTTTTTTTTACTCCGAGCTCTACATGCTTAATTTCATGTTTCTAGGCAAAGAAAATACGCTAACTAAGTACAAGAACAATACTTTCCATGTGAAACTTTGTGTTGTTGTACTTCCCGAAAGTACAGATATCTGGGGTCTTCTTTATTATATGTTAATTGATTTTAACATATACACGGACAGACAGACGGACAGTTTGACATGGCTAAATCGACTCCGCTATCTATAAGGAGGAGGATTATATGTAAATTGGGTTTTTTAAATAGAATTCACACTAAGATTGATCTAAAAATGAAATACTCCACTTAATACTCTTTTTTTATTTTTGCATATAAATGACTTTAAGATTGGCAATCATTTATTACCAAATAAAAAAAATTTGTACAAATTAACTTTTATTTTACAAAGGAAGATTAAGAAGTTAAGAATAATACACAAAAGGCACGGAAAAAAGGGTTAAATTTAAACAAATTATGACAACAATAAAATAACAAATGAAATATTAAGGTAACTTTTATACACTCAAAATATGATGAAGGTTAAGACAAATTTTATTTTAAAGTAAACCCAATTTTAGCTAATTATTAAAACTCTACATTAAAGTAGTTGACAGACCTTACAAATTTCTCTGAGTGTAGAATAGGAAAGATATATATTTTTTTTAATATTAATTTTTAAATGGAAATTTAATGTGTTTAATGATGTTTAAACGCAAATATTTTTTTAAAATTATTGAAACAAAGAGAAATAAACAATAAAGTTTAAGAGAAAAGATAAAATGTACAATTTTGACATTTATATCCTTTTTGTGTTCACTCTCTCTTTATACATATATACCCGGAAACGCCTACTGAATATTTGCTGCATCGACAGGATACATAAAGTGAAATTGAAAATTTTGATTTAAAAGCACAAATAAAACGTAGTTACAACAACATAATTTATGGTTGTTATTCCATTAAATTAGAGGAAGTAAATACACTTTACTTTTATGGAGAAATTTAATTAACATGTCAAACGTGCCTGTCGCTAATTTAATAATGATTTTTCGAAAATTTAAAATAAATCCTCATCAATTTATTAGTTAATAAGAATTTAAAATTTAACAAGTTTGTCATTTAATGCGATCATAATCATTTCAAGGGAATTTTGAAATAAAATGATGCTTAAATTACAATAACAATGCGTATAATTTATGTAAATAATTGATTTTGACATTTATGCTATTAAAAATCATATTGTTGTTAAGAGGAAATGTAAACACTGAAACAAATGGAGAGCAAGCTTTAGAGTGAAACACATTCCCTTCAAGGGTTAACAAAATACATATGATTTATTTCAAATTCCGCATTTCAAAACGTATTAGCTAAATTTTATATTATTAAAATGTAAAACTCATTATTTGTGTTTAAATAGATATGTCATATTTATTTTACATAAATATATTTATGTAATACATAATATTTACCATCATATTTACTTATTGAAGTAAAAAATTATATCAATAAGTACGCAAATCAATGTCATTAAAATGGATTTAATTTCAATAATTGTTTCTAAATCAAACGCAGTTTTATATAAGTACGTCACAGGTGTTTGTGTAAATGTATTTAATTTTTGTAAATATAATTAGTTACAATTAATTTAATTTACAGGATTTTTTATTTAAGGATTTCATTATTTGTTTATGATTATTAATTATTAAAGAACATTTTATATGTATTTAGATAGTTTTGGGCAATGGTAATATCTCAAAAGTATTGATATATTCATAGACTATTTTTTCAAAAACAAAACTACTTACTTCACTCCATATTTGTTGTTGATCGTAATATTAAATACTAAAATTTCAAATAACGAATAAACCGAGTATCTTTTGAAGAACGTAAAGGTCCCCTTCTATAGGTTTTTATTTACTCCGGGTTCTACATGCTTAATTTTCTGTTTCTGGAGAATAACAATCAGAGTCAGGCAAAATTGTTACAATTGTATTTTTTTGGTACAATCTTCAAAAGTACAATTGTACACCAATGACCCATTTAGAACAATATCAAAATACATTCCAATATTGAAATAATAATTTAAAAATTGTACTTTTAACACAAAGTTCAAAGATATACCGACTTTTACTAAACGTCGGTAGAGCTTATTGTAAAGAATCCTGGAATAGTTTCTGACCATACAACATTTAACGAAGTTTTTTTTTTTTTTATTCGATCGATTTTCTATTGTAGTCTTTGGACTAGTATATTTATAATTCTATAGACTAGACAATAAACTAATCAAATTTATAGACGAGTCTCTTTTCAAGTTAACAGCCTACTCTATCTTCTAGTTCATAGAGAGACAATAGACTGTTTATTGATTAGTCTAAGAACAAGTGTATTGACTAAATTGACTAAATTTATTGACTAGTCTAATGTCTAATCTATAGTTTTAAAGTATATCAAGGACTATTCTATGAAGTCTTTAGACTAGTATAAAAACTATATATACTAGTTTATTGTCTAGTTATAGACTAGTCTTCTGTCTATTCGATAACATAGCCTAGTCAATGGACTAGTACATTGTCTAATGAACTTACTTATTAATACATACACATATTGATTAGTTCTGACTGGCTGAAGAAGTCGGCTTGAAATGCTTTTGTTTTATATTAATATAAATTTGCAAAAATATAGATTTGGTACAATCGGATTCAAAAAAGTACACTTTTAAGTGCTATTTTGTACAATTTGTAGTTCTTTCTCTGTTTTGTTTTTATAAACAAGCAAAGTAAGTACAACAACAAAATTTACCATATGATGCTGTATGTTGTTGTTGTTAATTATTTTTTTCTAAGCATGCACCAAAATTTTAAATTTTTGTTGAAATTTTAAGAGGTTGTCTCGTATTTTTGCTCATATCTCCGTTATTTATGGAACGATTTTGCTGATTTTAAATAGCGTCTACAGCGTTTAAATTTCGTGTTTACTGGTTAGAGATCCCAGAGATTCCCAAATTAGAATATCACCTATATGTGAAAATTAAAACGATTGCAATTTTGTAGCTATATTTGCTAGACGATACATGTATCTTTATAATCAAAATTAAATTATTGATTTTAATCTTGCTCTTTTAGTACAAATATTTAAGTCATCAAACAAAAGGAATGCTTAAACATTAAGCTTGTTCTCAGATCATTTAATGTTATACTAAAGGATATTTTATCTACACTTTGTAAACATTTCTTTCCATCCCACTTCAAATAGATATAATCAAATTAAATTGAAAATAATTCCATTAACAACCGTGACAATGAACTTGATTTTCAAATTAAACTTCAGTATATTGTTTGACAAACAAAAAACTTAATAAAAACATTAAAGATTTTCAACACACTTATTAATGCAAATTGACATTTTTAGTTCTTTTATTTGTCTATTCTTTTAACAGTATTAACTTTTTTTTAATGAACAAAAGCCACTTGAGCCAGAATGAAGAAACAATGAACTTTAGAATTACAAAATAAGTTATAAATACATAGATTTTACCAATTAAATGAAAACACATGCATGTGTCCTGATGTTTTAACTGTGTTCAAGTGTTGGTACGAGTTGAAATATTTAAGGATTTATTTTCGTCTTTATCTTTGTATTAAACTTATTTATATTAGATTTATTAAAAACAGTTTGTTTATTTTTAACAAATATATTTATTTATATGGCTTGTAGCGATTTATAGTATTAATGTGTTTATTTAGGTTTTATTTTCTTTGGCAATTTATTTTTTATTTATGGTGCCTTTTCATGTAGATGTTTTGCATTAAGAGGTCATGAAACTTTTAAATTGAACTCGTTGCAAAATAATACAAAAAAGGGGTAAAAGCCTTTGTGCAGTGTGTGATCTTTTAATATTTAAATTAC